CATTCCTGTGCATTCATCTTCTTTCCTGCATCTTCTCTCCCAATCTATGGGTTTGCTGACCTTGCAGGTCTGGTCAAGCTCTAGAGTTCCATTTCTGATGACATCATGCAACCACACCAGATATCATGCTGACATTCCTTCACAACGCCCTGTCCTTTTATCAGGTGACATCACCAAGAGAGAGCCATACAGCAGAAGAGTAAAATGCATACACCACAGAGGCAAACAAGTCCTCCTTTAAATCTCTCATCATACTATGCATTTGTGCTTTACCTTAGCCAAGCTATAACCTTGATTCCCTCATCTATAAGATGAGGATAATAATAAAATATGCCTTGGATAGGGCCTGCTAGTTGACCCCAATATACATTCTCTTCTTTTATAATAGAAACCTTCCAACTTCACCTTGAAACTTGACTCCCAGCCAAGAACATCATTTCCCAGCCTCTCTTGCAGCCTCATGCAGCAAAAGGCATAGAAACAGAAGTGACATAGCTAACTCTCTCTATGGCAAAAGGCATAGAAACAGAAATGGCATATCTAACTACATGTATGTGGACTTTTTCTTCCTGCAAGTTCCTGGAACATGGAAGTGATATCAAGTCATCTTGGACCATCCAGCTTAGAACAACAGCTTAGGGATTACAAAGTAATAAAATGGAAAGAAGACAAGAAATAATCAAAATCAGAGCTGAACTGAGGGAGACTGAGACACAAGAAACCATTCAAAAGATCAATGAATCCAGAAGCTGGTTTTTTGAAAACATTAATAAAATAGCTAGAATGCTAGCTAGACTAATAAAGAATAAAAGAGAGAAAATCCAAATAAACACAATCAGAAACAACAAGAAGGACATTACTACAGACCCCACAGAAATACAAACAACCATCAGAGAACATTATGAACACCTCTATGCATATAAACTAGAAAATCTAGAAGAAATAAATTTCTGGACTCCCTAGACTGAACCAGGAAGAAATTAAATCCCTGACCAGACTAATAATGAGCTCTGAAATTCGATCAGTAATAAATAGCCTACTAACCAAGAAAAGCCCAGAACCAGATGGATTCACAACTGAGCTGTAACAGAAGCACAAGGAAGAGCTGGTACCATTCCTACTGAAGCTATTTTTAAAAAATAATAGTAAGGAAGAAGGAATCCTCCCTAACTCATTCTATGAGGCCAGCATCATCCTGCTACCAAAACCTGGCAGAAGCACAACAACCACCAAAAAACTTCAGACCAATATTCTTAATAAACATAAATGTAAAAATCCTCAGCAAAATATTGGCAAATTGAATTCAACAGCACATCAAAAACTTTATGCAACACCAACAAGCAGGCTTTATCACTAGGATGCAAGGTTGGTTCAATACATGCAAATCAATACATTTGATTCATCATATAAACAGAACTAAAGACAAAAACCACATAATCATCTCAGTAGATGCAGAAAAACCTTTTAGTAAAATTCAACACTCCTTCATGTTAAAAACTCTTAATAAACCAGGCATTGAAGGAATATACTTCCAAATAATAAGAGCCATCTATAACTAACCTATAGCCAACATCATATTGAGGGCAAAAGCTGGAAGCATTCCCTTTGAAAACTAGAACAAGACAAGGATGCCTTCTCTCACTACTCCTATTCAACATAGTTTTGGAAGTCCTCACCAGAACAAACAGGCAAAAGAAAGAAATAAAGGATATCCAAATAGGAAGAAAGGAAGTCAAACTATCCCTATCTACAGATGACATGATCCTATATCTAGAAAACTCCATGGTCTCGGCCCAAAAGCTCCTTAAGCTAATAAAACAACTTCAGCAAAGTCTCAGGATACAAAATCAATGTACAAAAATCATTAACACTCCTATCTGCCAACAACAGTCAAGCTGAAAGCCAAATCAGGAATATAATTCCACTCACAATTACCATACATGCACACAAAATAAAATACTTAGAAATACTAGCTAACCAAAAAGATGAAGGATCTCTACAAGGAGGACTACAAAACACTACTCACAGAAATCAGAGATGGCATAAACAAATGGAAAAACATTCCATGCTCATGAATATGAAGAATCAATATCCTTAAAATGGCCATACTGCCCAAAGCAATTTATAGATTCAATGCTATTCCTATTAAACTACTGATGACATTATTCACAGATTCAGAAAAAAAAAAAAAAGCTATTTTAAAATTCATATGGAGCAAAAAAAGAGCCTGAATAGCCAAAGAAATCTTACACAAAAAGAAAAAAGCTGGAGGCATCATGCTACCCAACTTCAAACTATACTACAGGGCTACTGTAACCAAAACAGCATGGTACTGGTACAAAAACAGACATGCACACAAATGGAACAGAATAGAAACCCCAGAAATAAGACCACACACCTAAAACGATCTGGTCTTTGACAAAACTGACAAAAACAAGCCAAGGGGAAAGGACTTCCTATTTAATAAATGGTGCTGGGATAACTGGCTAGCTATATGCAGAAGGCTGAAACTAAACCCCTTTCTTACACCATATACAAAAATCAACTCAAGATGAATTAAAGACTTAAATGTAAAACCCAAAACTATAAAAATCCTGAAAGATAAACTAGACAATATCATTTTGAACACAGGCATGAGCAAAGACTTAATTACAAAGATGCCAAAAGCAATTGCAACAAAAGCAAAAATTGACAAATGGGATCTAATTAAACTTAAAAATTTCTGCAAATCAAAAGAAACTATCAGCAGAGTAAACAGATAACCTACAGAATGGGAGAAAATTTTTGCAGACTACACATCTGACAAAGGTTCAATATCCAGCATCTGTAAGGAACTTAAACAAATTTACAAGAATAAAACAAATAACCCTGTTAAAAAGTGGGAAAAGGACATGAACAGACACTTCTCAAAAAAGAATATCATGCAGCCAACAATCATGAAAAAAAAGCTCAACATAACTGATTATTAGAGAAATGCAAATCAAAACCACAGATAGATACCATCTTACACCAG